CTTACAATCCAAGAAACAACACTTACTGCAACCTTTCTCAAGAAATAATAAGGTTATCTTCTCTTAGTGTAGATAGGCCTCTTTGATGTACTTGCAATGGTAGAGCACTTTCATTGGCTTTGCTTTCTTTTTGAATTTTTTTTCTTCTTATTTTCTTCTTTTTGTCTTTGATCTCCTTTGATTGTTGTAGGAGTCCTTCTTTTCTTTATGATTTTCTTTATCTTTTTGCTTTGCACGCCAATGACACTTTTGTTGTTAATCCAACTATGCTCTGATTACCGCTTGATGTAAGGCGAATCTACACACTTTGATGGAAGTGAGTAGATAAACTTATTGTGTCCTGATCTAGGATTGACAAGTACTGATGTCCTTGAATTTATAAGTTTGGGCTGCAATAAAATAAGAAAGAAATAATATTAATGATGGACTTAAGAAATGGATAATAATAAAAGTAATGGAAATAGAAAGAAATGAAATAAAGATAGAAAATAGATGGTTGCGAAAGTATGAAGTTGGTGATGGTCTTGATGAAAGAGGTTGATGATAGTTGATGATGAAATGGCAATGGTGGTGATAATTGTATCTCAAGCATGCCAAAGAAGAAACAATGCTAGGAAACACAATCCCAATTTTCATAAACTTGCTTGAGGGGTGGTGATAGTGTCTTCAACCCGCTAGATATAACTCAAGGAATTTAGGAATCAAGATGGAAGGTATGACGCCACAAGTATATGAATTATACTTGATTAATCGATAAAGTTCACAAAGAACTTTGAAGAGAAATTAACTCACAAGAGTTTGTTTAATATATGAGACAAGATAAGTACAAATGATGGAAGGCCTCTCAATTTATAGGAAATGAGAGGGCTTGACCGAATGGTTACATAATGTTTCGGCTAAGTACATGTCGCTATGGAAGTACATAATGATTCAAAATGAAAGGAGAAGTCCCTTGGCTTGGTGTTGGTTTAGCTAACCCTTCATGAAGGGCCTTGATGTTTTTGCAAAGGATGGGGAGACATCTCCCTTGGCTGAATGTGCATGTTGGCTCAACTTGGTGCCAAAATCATTTCCTTGGTCGAATGATGATGTGGCTCCTCATGCTTGGTAGCAAAGCTCTCATGTGCGAGGTATCTGGTGTGGCCGAATAGGTATGGAGCTCTATCTCAAGTCTCTTGGTGATTTAGGCCTCTAATGGGGGTGATCTCTTCACCAACGTGCTCCTTGGTGAAAGGGCATCTTCATGGGCAACATAATTCTTGAAAGGTCACAATGTTTGGGAAAGGTAACCTTTCATGTTTGAGCTAGTTCGGAGGTGAATGAGATGGAGGTGAATGAGATGGAGGTGAGCTGGCCATATGTGAGTTGTAGTATGGTGATCGTTATGGCAGCTCCTTGTGAAAAGGTACCTCTTGAGGTGGCAACTATTTTCGAAAAGGTACGATTTCACAAATTTTGACTTAGGATATATTTGAAGTGTCCTGAGTGGTGATAATGATGGTGCAACTCCACACCTGAAATGAGGTCATCTTGCAGCTCAAATCTTCAGCTCAATCCAGCTATGAGCTCATGGGTCTCCAAACAACTTCTCACCAATGGTTCCTTATGCTCTCCAAAACGTCCCTATGTAAATTTCCTTGTTGTTACATGCTGCATTTAGCTCCAATGTAGCTCCCAAGTTATGGCTGAATGTACCTACATACATAACATAAGGAAATAAACTTAGTATATAAACTTATATAATGTGTATAATATAAGAATGTAGACTATAGTATATAATAATAACAACTTATGTCTCATATATTGAATAAGTTACTATCACAATAACTATAGATATAATATATATATATATATATATATATGAAAGTAAATAGATTATAACATATGAAATAAGCATCTTTATGTTTAAAGTTAGAAAGTGTCTTTCCTTAAAAGGTTGGAATTCTCAATGTAAACATGATGCTGAATTGGATCACATCAGCATCCCCACAACGCCCAAATCTGGTACCTAATCGCTTATACATTGTCGTAAATGGTGGAAATTGTAAATTCGAATTGATATTTAAAGTGTGATCCTTTTATTGAACATTAAAGAAATTATTTATTAGGGAATATTCATTAATTTGAGAAGAAATCATGGGATTTTCACATCCTCCGACGGGAAGGATATCCCATTTATTTCTCCTTTATACGAAAAACATCCCTCTCCCCAATTTTATCAAAAGCATAAATCGAATATAAATTGACTATCGATATTAGTATGAAACAAATTACTATTTAAAGAGACATGTATTACATCATTTAAATTAAAATGAACATGAATTAATTATCATCTTTGTAAAAATAAGCTCGATTTATTTCAAGTTCACTATTCATTTGAATGTCGTGTCAAATCGCACTAATTCGATCAAGATGTGCTTTTTGCGCCCATTCTATTATGGAGGGTTATTGAAAACATACGAGTATAATGAAATCTTACCAAGTATTAATATCAAATATAATAGTCGTTGCAACTTTAACAAATGATGATTAGAACATGGATTATATTAATAAATATAAAAGGACTACTATATTTGAAAATAAAGAAACAAATGATCATATTAGAATGAAACAGAATGAAACAAAATGAAAAGTCAAAAATAAAAATAATTAAAAGTAGGAAACCATGATGACCAAGATACATATATTGAAACTACAACATAAAATAACAAAGTAGACCTCATTAGCGACTAAAATAGAATAAATAGAAAATAAAGCACAATAATTAAAGAACCCAAATTAAAGTACCAAAAAATAAAGAACAAAACTAAAAAGATAAAAAATTAAAGCGATGAAATTAAAGGACTGAAATTAAATAAATAAAGTAAAAGACATATATTTAAAGGTGCATAAAATTAAATAACAGAAATAAAAAGTGCAATAAAAATAAAAGTTAGTATTACTTTTAGTTTTTAACACAGATCGTAAATAATGCGAGTCGTACCCCGGGGCGGGTCGTCGCAAGGTCATACAACATTTCAAACATAAAATAAATAAATAAATAAATAAAAATTAGCGGTTAGTGTTAGCAGTTAGCGTTAGTAGTTAGAAGCTAGCTGTTAGAAAAGTTAGCGGTTAGCAGAGTCCTAACCTTAATAATGTGGATCGTACCCCTGATCGGGTCACTACAAGGTCGAATAATAATTCAAACAAATTAATAAAAATAAAAAACAGTTAGTAGTAGAGTCCAGACCATAATATTGTGGAACGTACCCTGGATTGAGTTACCCCAAGGTCGAATCAAATATCAGGGATAAATAAATGTCACGGGTTAATATGCAACGAAATAAAAGTTAGTAGTTAAATTGAAATAAATAACAACAAAATAATGACCAAATTAAAAGTTAGTGAAATTAGAAGGTATATTCTAAATAAATAATAAGTGACCAAAGTGTAAAAAAAGCTAAAATACAGAGGACTTAAAGGTGATTTTCCCCTGATAGTGACCAAAACGTGAAACACGCTGAAACTGGGAGGACTCGAGGGTAATTTGACCACAACAATGGTGATTAAAAGGTAAGAAGAAGATAAAGGTCCAAGGACCTTAGCGCAATTTACCCAAAAAAAAAAGGAATTTGTTTCATTTATCTGTCTCACAAACAAACCCTCTTCAAGGCCCTAATCTGAACACCGGCTACTGCAAGTGGGCATTCGCACACCGACCACCGGGCCAGTGACCATCCTACTCCAATCGACGACCCCGACTATGACCGAAGGAGGACCGACCGAACAACTTCAACCCTATTTTTTTATTGCCTGACCTAGAAGCTCCCAAAGCTTCAACGCTTATAACGGCACCGCATCTAGGTGGTGCTTCTCACGCTGACACCAGGCTGGAGAAAATCAAACTCTGCCAACGACCTCACTCTTCAACCACCATCGGTGGTTGGGTTCCAAACCCACTATCGAAACAAACCCAAACACCCTAAACCTTACCTAAAGCCCTGATTTTAGACTATTCCCCGACCGTTCGGCTTCCTAGACTGACAATCCCAATGCTGGCGAGACTTCGACGAGGAACCCTACCAACCACATACACACCGAGGTATGCCTGGATTAAAAAAAAAGAACGAAAAATGAGGGAGTAGAAGACCACCTTCCTTTTATTTGCTTTCTTTCTGGTTTACAAAAATCGGGGGTTCTTTTCTTTTTTGTTTGGATCTTATACCCCTCAAAGTTATAAATGGTATAATTTAGAGTTTGGTCCTTAGTATTCAATCCAATTTTAATTTTTGGACAAAACTAGGGTATTACACGTGTACTATAAACCAAAGTAATTTCTGCCAAAATACTTCATTAACTTTTGCTCTTGAAACATTCTAAATAATAGTAATTGTTAATTTGTTACTCACGCTACTAAGGTTATCAACCCTAATTTCAATTTTTAACTTCAACATTCTTCTCAAGAATCAACTAGAATTGCTCCGAATAAGGACATACCAGAATTGATTGTACTTTGTTTAGGGGTTGTTTTACCTTTCATGTTTTCGTCCATAGGTTCGTGATTGGTCACTCCTAATAATATCATTTTCAAAGTTGAAACATAAATTCTCTACTTCAGAGTGGTAACACTTGTTTGTTATTTGGGAACTTCAAACAAGCTTAAGTGATTCTGAATACAAAATGGTGGGATGAAAAACAAACTCTCGCAAACTTGATTTTATCCATTTTTTAACATTTAATCTATAATATGGAAACTTCAATGACAATAATATTTAATCCAAATGTTAACAACTTATTATGAAATGCTTCATTTAGAGTCGTATTTTCCCCGTCACGTCACAAAGCATCACCACCGAAATAGTTCCCTCCGCAGCTACCCCCACAATGTCCGCCACAACTCCCTCTACAGCCACCACCACACCCGCCACCATGGTTACTCTTGACCAGATCTTCATGGTCAGGAAAGTCTTGGATTCCATCACTGATGGAACTTTTTTCTTCATATTTTCAGCTTTTCACATTGTTGCTTGAACTTTGAGAAAGTAGAAAAGCCAATATAATCATGGGGTGATTCTTCTTCACTTATCTGTTCGTAAAGATTAAAAACCAGTGTGATAATTGTGCAGTTATTATCTCATAGTACAAGATATTGTTAATTTGATATACCTCTATAATGCCAGACTTGAAGTTCATCAATGCTACAGCTTTTCCATAAGGATGATCCATGGAGAACTCAACAGCTGTCATGAAATGCTCTTAATTTTTCTGATTCCTTCTACTATTAAGCTCATATCCCAGTTTTCTTCCTCCAAAAACAACCAGCTAAGCCACAATATATACATAAAACCGAGGGTTCTGAATATGAATACAACCTATGCCTAGGGTTATGGTTGTAAATGAACGAAGTTTGATTCGGTCAACACTCATATCAAATGAACTTGACTCGAGCTCGAACTTGGCTCAAGTTCTTAACGAATCGAAGTCAGTTACTTGATACCTATCTCGAAAAGTTTGTGAACAACTCAAACAAATAATATATTAAATTTCTAATTTTTTAAATTAAATTATTAATAATATTATCATTGTCGTAACTGATTTTTGCCCGGACACGAATTTTCCTTGGTGGAAAAGTATGTGAATAAATAAATGATTTTTTATGAAATGTTTTGGAGTCGCCATCGACCTTTTGGTTTAGGTAGGTCAAATACCTAAAAAATCATCTTTTAAAAGGGTTTTTAAGAAAACATCAGTTAAAAGATAAACTGGTGTGCGTATAACCAAAAATTCATTCTTTTTAGTAATAAAAAGGGATTCGTGGTCGGTTACGTTTGGGAAAGGATTAGCACCCCACAACACCCAAAATTGGTACCCATCGATTATAAAATGTCTCTAGTAGCAGAAGTTTAAGAATTCGAATATGAATTTAATTTATGATCCTATTAATCTAGATTCAATTGAATAATTCTAAGGAAAAATATAAAATATTCAATATTTCCAATTGAAGATAAACTAATCCCTAAATTACTTTAGGACAAATATTTCTCTTTCCAACTGAAATATAAAGAATAATATTCTTCAGGAAAATATAAAATATTCCAATATTTCCAATTGAAGATAAACTAATCCCTAAATTACTTTAGGACAAATATTTCTCTTTCCAACTGAAATAATAAGAATATAATAATTCTTCCCAAGAAATCATATTAAAATAGCTTGATTCGATAAAATAGGCAATTTATTTATTTAAAAATATTAGAATAGAACATCTAGTTACTTTAAGACAACCCTTTCTTAATATTTAAAAATAAATATTATCCTTTTTATATATATTCTTGTGATTAAAATGAAGTTAAAAAAAATAAAGAGGAATAATTAAAGGACTAAATTTAAAATATTGAAACATAAAATGTAATAATAAAAATAAAATAAAATTGCAATTAATAGTTACTAAAATAAAGAAAATTAAAACTATAGGATTAAATTAAAAAGTAATAAAACTTATGGTCAAAAATCAAAATTATTAGCATATCAGGGATTAAAATGTAACACAGTAAAATTAATGGCCCTGATTTAAAATATTATGAAATCTAGGTATTATTAGCATAATTAACCATAAATAATTACACGGGTTAAAATATAGATCATTAAAATTAAAAGGACTAAATTAAATATTTTACCTTTAATATATAAATATATAGGCATTGACTAAATTACAATAAAATAAAATGTAAAGACCGAATTGAAATGCACAGAAATTGATTTTAGTGACTAAAATATAAAAGGGTATAACATAAAGGGACAACAAAAATAATTTACCCATGCATAAAATCACGCAGATGTCTCTTCCCAAAACAACGTAGTTTTGAGTTGGGTATAAATAGGCCAAAATAGGCCAAAAATCCTCATTTCTCTCTTTTTCTTCTCTCTCTAAGGGAGAAAAGCTCTCCATTATCTCTAACTTTCCCTCACCGGAGGGAATCCGTTCACCGATCGGCCACCATACGCTGTCGCAGGAATATATAAATTTAGTCCTTTAATTATTGAAACATAAAAACTAATCCTTTGACGTTTTGTAAATCCGGTGGCTTACCGGAGGAATATATATATGGTTGTTGTGTGTTTTGATAGCTTCGATCGATGGGGCTTTTTATAGGCCCCTTCGTACGCCCTTTGGACCGGTTAAAGGAGGGTAACTCGGTGAGTCACCAACTTATGGCGGTGGTTGTCTTAGGGGTAATGTGGTGTGTGGTTCATATGCTTGCTGGAAGCTGCTGGTTCGGGGACGTGGAAGGTCTACTGCCAGCTAAAAATGGTGATTACAGCTGCCCCTATTTGCTAGTTGTTGTGAAACAGGAATGGAGAAAAGACATAAAGCACCATTTTTAGCTTGAATTGTTCAAACTTCTGAGCTATAAGTTTTTCTCATTATGAACTTTTCGCTCACTTCGTACGAGTTCTTTTTATTATGAACTCTTCCATTGGGAATGACGATCCAACTTATTCTTCGATGGATTCTAGTAAAAGGTTGAACAAGTTCTTCTCATTATGAACTTTTTCTTCCTCTTCAGACGAGTTCTTCTCATTATGAACACTTCCACTGGAAACTGTTAATGCCTTAAGTGAAGTGTTGTCAATTCAACTCCATATGCGATGAATCAATGCAAGGTTGAACAAGTTCTTATTCTTTAGATGAGTTCTTTTCATTATGAACTCCTTCTGGAAATGATGATGCTAATCTATTTTCATATGCGATAGAGTTGAGCAAAAGGTTGAATAAGTTCTTCAGATTAAGAACTTCTTCTTCATCTTCAGATGAGTTCTTCTTATTATGAACTTCTTCTGGAAATATTGATGCTGCTCTATCTTCTTCTGTGATAGAGTCGAGCAACAGGTTGAATAAGTACTTCAGATTATGAACTTATTCTTCCTCTTGAGATGAGTTCTTCTTATTACGAACTTCTTCTGGAAATGTTGATGCTTCTCTATCTCCTTCTGCGATAGTCGAGCAAAAGGTTGAATGAGTTCTTAAGATTATGAGCTTCTTCTTCCTTTTCAGATGGGTTCTTCTTATTACAAGCTTCTTCTGGAAATGTTGATGCTACTCTATCACCTTCTACGATAGAGTCGAGCAAAGGTTGAATAAGTTCTTCATATTATGAACTTCTTTCTCCTCTTCAAATGAGTTATTCTTATTACGAACTTCTTCTGGAAATGTTGATGCTGCTCTATCACTTTCTGCGATAGAGTCGAGCAAAAGGTTGAATAAGTTCTTCAGATTATGAACTTATTCTTCCTATTCAGATGAGTTCTTCTTGTTATGAACTTCTTCTAAAAATGTTGATCCCTTGAGTGATGGATTCGAATATTTGCTGAAATCTTTGCTAATCTTTGGAATTCTTTAAAATAATACTCATTCTTGTGTATTGTGTCCATCTATTCTTCAGATGTTTGCCTTTCTTAACATGATTCCTGTATTTGAGGTTTGAATTCTACCTCCTACCTGTAAGGTATGTTGTCATCATGAATCTTATTTTTTAGGTGATTTTTCTGTAAAAACCTCATGTTTGAATGCAATCAAATGTATCAATGTAATGCATTTTCTATTATGCAAATGATGTTCTTATGAATGTTGATACAATCTTCATTTGACTTCAAAGCGGCGAACTCGATCTTCCTTCACTTAGTCAAAATGTCATTTCAAGCTGTCATTCTTTTTTTTGGAAGAGCAATATTTGTATCTTCTTTACTTCATTTGTATTAAAGTCTCAGAAGAAATGTTTCATTCATAGAACTCTTGCTGCAGTCAGGATTATGACCTTGATGCCCCCATTTTGTCTTTGATAAAACCGACTTTCTTTGCCTGGACTTGTGTAGAAATCCAATAAAGCTTTCATATTTGAAAAGAGAATCTATCATCTTTGTATAATGTAGATTTAAATATGTTAAACTTAGTAGATATTATTTAGGAGAGCAGTATATGTTCTAATTTGACTCTTGAAACACATCACAAGGAGGATTTATCCTAATTCCTTTCATGTCTCCATTTCAAAATGGATCTTGAATAAGGCTATTTATAACATATCACGTCGAGATGCTTAACAACCTATCTTTTAACCTTAGTTGGCTTTACTAGTTTCTTGCTATTAAAATTTTAGCCCCCCGTCTTTAGAAAGAATTCTTCATCATATCTCACGTTTAACCTTGGGGTTGAATAAGACAAGCTTCATCTTAAGTCAATAAATGGAAACACCATATGATCGCAACATTTATTCAGCACTATAATCCCTGGTTCGTAAAACATTTGACAACACATTCATCCTTTTAGGTGGTTTCTAACCAGATTTCTCAATCATTGAACTATTTGCATAGTGTTCAGAGCTTTTGTATGACATCACAAGGACACTTAAGAACAAAACTCAGTGGGAATACAACTGAAACGCTTCGGCTTGCCAACATCGAATCACCAAAATAATGTAACTGTATGATGAACAAAGCAATTATGTATAGTCAGCTCCACTATTACTATTTCACCATTTTCATTCTTTACATATTTCTGTCTTATTAGAAATATTTGCTCAATTCAATGATCTTGACACAAGGATGATATGGGCCTTCAGCATGCCCAAACATTTTTGGATACAAACGTTCAAAATGCGTTCAATATTGTTTATTGCTGATGTGAGCCTTCAAAAATGCCCAAATATTAATACTGATGTGAGCCTTCAAAATCTCCCACATGGATCATTCTTATCTGAAATGGGCCTTCAAAATGTCCCAAATTTTCATACTAATGTGAGCTTTCAAAATGCCCCACATGGATCATTTCTAGTTGAAATGTGCTTTCAGCATGCCCCTTTAGATCAAGGTAATCCTTCTTGATGAAATGCTGATAATGTCACAAGAGATCGTTAAAAGTTCAATTCTCCAGATTTTCTGGCTCTCGGGAATTCTTCTCTTCAAGAATGTAAAATACTTCATCATTTTGGCATCGGTTATTCTTTTTCTCCAATAGAGGTAGAATAGGCATCAACTTGCTTCTAGGGACCTTCTTTATTTGAGATTGTCCTATTTGAAAATATTTTTCATCCTTTCTTTATCAAATAATGACATAATTTTGTAAAGTATTGCTCCTTACAGGTTCATAATTGAATCAAATCATAAGCATAAATTCAAAGAATATCAACAGAATCAACATATCTTTAATGTTTTAGAATTATAGCCCTTTGACAAGTATCAAAATTAGGGTTGGTTTTAGGATGGCTTTCATATTTTCTATGGTTATATCTATTTAAGATGTCACGCCTCTCTAGCTCTTTGT